ACGCCCAAGGAGTCGTCGAGGTCGCGTAGGCGCACCTCGGCCGTCTTCCTTGGTCGATCCACCCGCGTGCCCTCCTCCCCGAGGAAGGCACACGTAATATATCCCGCGAGGAGGTCCGCTTTATCAGCGTGGCCCTCCCCCGACACCTCTATGATCCTGGCACCGGTGGCCGCGGTTCTAACCTTAACCCGGTCCTCGATGCCAAGATCTTTCAGATCGACCTCCCGCCGCAGTTTGGCCATGGCCTCACGGTAGTCCCCACTGGGACGCGTGAGGACCACGGCCGACGTGCGCGGGGGTCGTCTCGCGGGAGTCTTTTTAGGCGGACCGCCAGCCTGCCCCTTAACTGGGGACTCCTTTCGCGGGTTTCCCCGCCGCCTTGGCCCTTCTCCCAACCACCACCGCGTACGTGTCAACGCCCGCGGCAGGCTGGGAGGACTTGGCGTCTCGAAGCTCGGGAGCCCTTGTCCTCTCTGCTCCCTGCGTCTGCTGCGAGGAAGGGGCCTTCTTTTTTTCTTCTTCTTCTTCTTCGCCCCCTCCCCCGCAACGTTCGCAACCTTCGCTGGAGGGTCTTTCCCTCCCGATCCGCCCTTCTGGACGGCCCCGGGAACCGGGCGGCTTCAACCCCTTCAACACCCCTTCGGGGGTTGGAGGGGCCCGCCGCGGGGCCGCTATCACGGGCCCCGCCGTCGGCCAGAGCCCGGATCAATCCCTCCATCCGTTGGAGCTGCCGACCGATCTCCTTGTTTGATCGGTCGACAGCCTCCTTGATCTCCCCCCGTACCCACTCCCCCGTGATCTCCCCTGCCTTTGGCAGGGATTTCCCCGCTTTCTGCGGGGCGTGGGGAGATGGCAGGGGGAGCTCTTCCCGGGGGTCGGGGGATTGGCCCGCTTCCTAGAAGCGGACCTCTCCCTCTTCCTCGCCTGTGTCTTCCCCGCCCCCGACGTCGAGGCCCGGGAGGTGTCCCTAGGTGTGACGACCTCCCAGGTCCTCTTTTCCGGTGGCGCAGGATCCGCCATCTTCCCGGGGGGAGGAGGGTCCATCGGCAGTCCGTCCGCGACCACCTCCGGCATCTCCTCCCGGACGTCCTCCCCCGAAGGGGTGGCGTTCCCCCCTGTCTGTGGTGGGTGGGGGGGCGGCATCGCCCTACGGTTCCACTCCTCCTTCTCCCTCAGGAGGTCGGCGACCTGGGCCTTGAGGGAGGCCAGCTCCTCCCTCAACAGCTCCTCTGTCTCCGTCGCCCTCCCGCTCAGCCTGGTATTCAGGGCGTCTATGGCGATCCTAGTAAACAGGGCCCCTTCCCTTATCATGCCAGCAAGGGTACCTTTTAGGTTCTTGCTGGCCGAGACCGCCTCGTCGATCCTGCTGCTGTGCTTCACCACTTCAGCAACCAGATCGCGGGTGGGGAGTTGGGGGATTTGCTCCTCCAGCTCCCTCACCTTTTTCCGCCTCTCGGCTCCTTCGTACTTGCGGGGGTCGTAGCCTCCTTGCATGGCCCTCTGGGTGTCCCGCCACTCGCCGTTGGCCTTATTGAGGTCCTTCTGGGCCTTCTTGCGTTCGGCCATCAGAACGTCCTTTCCCGTCGTGGGCGGCCTGCCCCTCCCGTCCTTCTTTTCCGGGAGGGGGTTCTCCTCCTCCTCGCTGGAGCCGCCCTGGGAGCGCGCGTACTTCGCGCCCTTCCTCCTTCGGCTGCTCCTGCTCCTTTTGGTGGCCCCCGATTTGGACAAGTGGGATTTGTCGCTGGCGTCGGAGCCACTGTCCTCTTCGGAGTCCACCACGCGAGCGGGGTCGTCCTGGTCGTCGACGACCTCACTACTCGCGACCGATGTCGTCTCCCCCTCCCCGTCGCTTGTACCCGACGGGGTGGGAGAGCCTCCGGTCCTCTTCGGGGAGGGGGAACCCTTGGTCCTCGTGCGGATCTTGGCACCAAGGCCCGTCGGGTCCTCCTCCTCGTCCACGACGTATTCCTAGCCATCCGGGTCAGACCTTGTACATCGCGTGTCCCTCTTATGCCTCTGCTTCCCCTTGAAGCTCTTGGGACCGGGTGTTGTGCCTCGCAGCTTCCTCATGTCGAGGCGTACCACCTCGACAGCCGCAAACCTGGGGCCGGACGGTTCTCCTGATGGCCCGGGCTGATGATCGCCCGTCGCGCCGCCCTGCGCTCCCTGCGCGACTGCCGCATGGGTCTGCGGCTGCGCGCCCGTCTCCACCTCCTCTCCTCCCTCCACGTTGGAACAAAAAATGTTGTTTGAGACAGCCATTTCCAGTTCATCCCCACACCGCGCGAGGCTCCACCGACCGGGGTATACCCCCACCGGGCCACGACCGACCGCGAGACATGACAACGGACGCCGGCGCAGCCCGGGCCCCGAGTTCCCCCGGGGGAGTCGGCATATGCCACAGGACGGGGGGATACCGCACCCCGCCACTGGGCTCCAGCCCCCTACTCGCCCCCAACGCTCAGTGCGTGGGGGTTTTCGGGGGTTCCGCACCTCCGACTATGCGGACACCTCGCACGTGCTTGCCAAAGCGGGGGGGCCCCACGGACGGGCGGAAGTGTCAGGGGAAGCCCTCCCCCCTTCACCCCGACCCGCCGTGGCGACCAGCGTGGGCACTTCTACCGCCAGGGGGTAGTCCGCGCTAGGAAACGTGGGCTATCGCGCGGGCCCCCCGGCACAGGGCGCAACAGGGGTCATTACTCCCCTGAGGCAACCCTCGTCCGAGCAGGCTGCCGGGTCCGGGACACTGCTCGGGACCGCGACAGCCCCCCGCCAGCGGCCCCCCGGACCCTGCCTGGGAAACGTCCCAGCGGCTCCGTAGGGCCCCGTGCCGCCGAGCCCCACCTCGGAATACGTCCGAGCGGCCCCGACGACACGTCCTCCCGACTCCCCAGACCCCGACCTGGGAAACGTCCCAGCGGCTCCGGGGGGCCCCGTGCCGTCGGGCCCCGCCTCGGAGTACGTCCGAGCGGCCCCGACGACACGTCCTCCCGACCTCGCGACCCCGAGCTCCGACCCGGAAATAAGTTCCGGCGGCCCCGGGGTCGCGCCTCGTTGTGCCTCTACCATCCGTACACAGTACGCCCCAATGTTCCCACCCAAAGGCACAATGAGGCCTCCTACTCCTGCCCGCCCACCCGGTGACCCGCGCCGCGCACGGTTGTGCCACCAGGGTCGGGCCCTCCCACCCCGCCGAAACGGGACCACGTCCCGCCCAGCGAGGCGGAAGCTCCGCCAATGCCGGTGCGCTCCCCGCCCGGCCCCGTGCCAGACCGGTCGTCCCGAAAGGGACGACGGCCCCAGACACGGGGTGACGGCCGGTTCGCGCCCCGACGACGGATGCCGGCCGACGGGCTGTCGGCCGACCCTCCAGACCCTCCGAGGCCCTGCCTGGGAAACGTCCCAGCGGCACCCGGAGAGGTCTTCCAGGTAGCAGGCCCCGCCTCGGAAACGTCCGAGCGGCCCCACTACCCGTCTGTCTTCCCGCCCCCCGGTGACCCGCGCCACGCACGGTTAAGCCACCGGGGTCGGGCCCTCCACTGCCGACGCGACCGGACCACGTCCGGCCCTCGACCGTGGGCTCCGTCCCCTTGCCCCCCCCCGCCGGAACACCGGCATTAGGGGGAGCTCAGGGACCTCCCCATTCCCCAGCCAGGCCCTCCCGCCCGCCGGAGAACGTGCAATGGCGTTCGGGCCCAACCAGGGAGATGGGGCGGAGGTAGGATGGCGATAACGTGCCACCCCCCTCCGTCCGGGTCCCCCCCGCCGCCCCGCCGGAACACCGGCATAA